TGATAAGCACGAAAGAAGCGTAAGAGTCGCTCGAGGCGATAGCCGAGAGCGACTCTAGCTTCTTGAGTGCTTAGCAAACCTCCCAAGTGAATCCATAACTCGATAGTGTACGCTGTTGTGTTTACCATTTGTTTTATAACATAACAGGGATACATTGTAGCTAAAAAGTTCCCTTTTATTTAACAAATCTTACGTGACCAGAAAAAACAAGCAAGCGCGGAAAAATAGTCTTTGCATTTGCTCACGTCAGCAGCGTACACCCATGGGCAAATGGGGGACGCTAAATTGACCAATCAGAGCGCGCGCTTTATTTTGGTTATGTTATAATAATCAGTGATCATCTTCCCGACATGATGTTCAGACGCTCATCCAGCAGTCTCTCGTCAGTCTCAAAGAATCCCCTGGTGTCAATCAAAACAATCTTCTCCTACACAGTATATTCTTCGAGCAAAATGGTTCCTTCACTTCCTGTGCCCTGCTCAAAGGCACACTGCTGATTACCAATAGCTAGCTGCAATGTTCCAAGTAAATTCAATAAAAATACGCGTCAGGATATGCATACAACTCTTTCACATTAAGACAAGTAAGTCCCCTTCATTTGCGCTCGGCTGAATTCATTCTATTTGATTTCTAGATTTCACGAAATATCTCGGTTACTGAAACCTTAAGTTAGTCTCTGTGTCCGAAATAGTATTACTATCGCTGAATTATCGCTAGACACGCCCAATGATATTGACCACCCACAACGTGACAACAGCGCGTATAAGAACTCCATGTTCGAATAAAAAAGTTAGCTTTTGTTCTTACCGATAAAACTAGTTTTCCCAGATCCCGTAGGACCGATCAAAGCAATGCGAATTACATCAATGTCGTCCACCTGCAGATCTGTGAAAGATTCTTTCTTGATCCTGGGGCACTTACGAAAGTTATAATCCATCATCTCCTTTCTAAGGTTGAGAAACGCTTTGAACTTTTTCATTTCTTTTTCTCTTCCTTCTCTTTCACGTCGTTGTTGATCTAAATCCCTCCTCTCCGCCTCGTCTTCGTACAAGGCACGTTCCTCCACTTCGCGTAATGCCTGCTCCCGTTCTCTTGCCATCCTGGCAGACAATTATTCCAGTCTTCGCTCATTTTCCTCTCGAGCTCTCCTCTCGCCTTGTGCGCGCGCGATTGGATCTATAGTGTCCACTGCCCTGCAGGTCACATGCTCCGGGAAAAACGGACGTACCAGTGGGGTTACCACTGCTTCCAGAGGGGCTACCACTGGGGTTACAACTGCCTCCCCAAGTCTTCTCTAAAAAGAATTATCGTCATTTTATTTCGAACTTTCTATTTGTTAAAAGGATGTTATGACAGGTTCATTACTAACATTTTTTTTGGATAAAACGGAGAACAAATCTTTGAACACTAGCTTTACCACCCTCAAACCCCTAAAAACATCGTCCACCATTAATAAAAACTTATCCCAGTAGAGTCGGCAATCGCACAGCAGAAGACTTCATCGCTTCGTCAAAAGCTAAACGCTCGAAGGTCCCTTTTATTTGATCTATTTCGCTCTCTTACGAAATTTCTCCCATGGCTAACGAAAAACTGTCAGGCTGATCTTTTGAAACGTCTGTGGACAGTTTTTTATGTAAAACAAAGGCTATTTGCTGTGCGACGAAAACAGGGTAACAATTGCCCCGAAAACACCGCAGCGATCTATTAAGAAGTCAAAGCTCGGGATGAAGGGAAGGAAAATACGGGGAAAGAGTTCAACTACTTTTTCTATTCCAGGAAGTTCCTGGAATAGAAAAAGTACTTCGTCTGACCAAAATCTTTATGCTTGGATTTTAAGAAATAGTTTTTCTGCCTCTTGAACTGAAGATTTCTTTTGCTTAGGGTATCACGTGTCTGTCATGAGCATGAATACGTGACTAGCGAATTGTGGGAGATTTTTTTTAGGGACAGCGCTGCACACTGGGTAAAGAAAAATCATCGGTAGGCTATTTGAAAATTCTTTCTTTCGATATCACAACCTATCGACTAGATTCTATGAAAAGAAAACAAATAAACGTAAAAAAATATGAAAAGAGATGAAGAGAGTTCCAAATATAACAATATGCGACTTCGCCGGTTCCAAGAATTTGCTGCAACTGGAAAACGTGTTGCTCTAAGGAAGCTGGCAAATCTACATTCACTTTAGACCTTGCTCGCGGAATGTATTCTTCTCCTTGCACCCGTTTTCGTAATAAATCGGAACCGATTAATGATTCATGTCTCTGCTTTCATTTGTCTAGAATGACCGTGCAGCTAATTCTTGTTTAATTTTTTTTCGAAGTAGAAATCTTAACATATTAAACATATTTCGCTTTCGCCGGTTTCAAACCAATAAATCATCGTTGTTAGTATGCAAAGAGCCGAGTGTATTTGCAGTTTTTATCAACATAGACAAAGTTCAACGCAAAATACACAAGATACATTTATACTCACAATTCCTTCTAAAATTCCACTCATTGTGAAAGAATATTTTTGCCTAATCCTGGATTTATGCAAACCCAACCTCAGAGCAATCGCTGTTTCTAAAGCGCGATATCTTGCGTCAAAAGCGGAAGTTTTATTTCCCCGAAATCACGGGATCTTTGATATTAATTTTGAAGAAAAACCTTCATTCACCTCCAGACTCTTGTAGTTGAAAAGTACATTCCTCGTTCAAAATGATGAAGTTAACAGAAAGGTATTTTATTTCCTTTTATTGGTGTTTAATCAGGCATATAATTTTTTTTGAACAACGGTCAATCAGTTGAAAGTGATGATGCCTCCCTTTCTATCTGGCAGCAATCGTTTTCTGACCACCTTGTCAGATCGAATAGCTTTTGAATAACACGATACGTAAACAACAATAACTTATCAATTACGGTGCCTAGTAAACATGGTCAACGCAACCTTATTCTGCGTGCAAGCGCTTTTTGTTAGCACTGTGACCAAAGTGTTTCTTTGTCCACGAGAAAGATCGAAGCCTTTAATTAGCAAAGCGAGCAGGTGCGAGTTCGGCTGAGGGTCTGGAGTCGATACTGAGGGCCAGTTAGTCCCAGACCTCTTACAGACCTCTCGCTGGCTAAACTTTTTCAGAGGACTTTTTCATGGATAAAGAAATCACTTCAACCGCAATTTTTTCTATAAAAATAAGGGTAAAAAGTGTAATCAGAAATCTATCCAGTGTGTTCCCTTTTTTTTTTTGTGCAAACCACCAGCCAGGCATTTTCCAACTTAACTAATCTAAAAAATCAAAGCTCTTTTGTTTATAATTATCTTTTTTTTTCTCGCTAAAATCATTTTGTTTTGTTTTGTGCAAGGGCTTCTTCACAAGCGCCTCATCTCTTCTTCCAAGACTATCTTCATTCCAATCGACAACGGCAGACTCGACTTGATGTCCTCCCACATTTCCTTTAGCACCTTTAGAGTATTGATCTCTTCTTGCTTCAGGTGTTCCTTCAAAGCTTTCATCTTGCCCTGCTCAGACCAGTGGTGCTTGTGCTGCAGACGGGCTAAGAACTGCTCAATGGTCTCCCCACTGGGAGATGGTCCTGATGACGGAAAAATAAGGGGTCACTGTCAATTCAAGAGTTAAGTAGGACGTTAACAGCGAAGGCACACGGCAATAACTGAACTTTTTGCCGTCTGGGTTTAGCGGTTTGTACACTGAAATTAAAATCTTTCAATCTCTCTGTATCCTGATTTGCTTTAATTACCCAAGCCCATCCCATGACCACGCGGTTACTATTCCTGAACTTTTTTGGTGCTATGAAGAGAGCTCGAGATGCTCAACATCATTGACGATTGTTGGAAAAAGGAAAAAAATGTTACCAACGCGTATTGGAGCTTACGATTCCCCCTTCCGGAATGCTCAGGCGCTTAGTTACAGAAGACGCTTCGGTGAGTTGGGCCATAAACGCGATTTATCTATGACAAGCGTTCTGTATACTGCTAAGATAAGCAGTAGCATACATAATGTAAATGATTGAGAGCATAATTATTCATTCTATTTTTCTCACATTTTTCCATAAGCTTAGGCAAAATCTATTACCTCCTGCCATGACTTCTCTGTCCATCTTATTTTTCTCTCGCTGTTTACGGATTCTGATAAACCTTTCGGCAGACAACAGAACAGAATCCAAGATGTCAAGGGCTGCTCGATCCACTTCATGAGACTGCTCAGCTTTGGCGTGCGTGTAATTTGCAATGAAGTAGGTCTTCTCACTGGAGCTGCCGGTGGCCCAGGAGGCCTGGTCAAAAGCTTCTTCTTTTTCCTCCTTTTCTACAAGCCTGTCCAGGTAGGTGATTACAGTCACAGGAGCATAACCTGAAAGGTTACGGTAAATCTGATTACTTATAAAGCCACAGCACTCATCGCCTCTATACCAGCTAGTCTGTAGCGGACTCTCGGTTTGTGGCGACAAGGAGAAAGGCGGGGGCGCGGGGCGTAGAAAACAACGAAGAAGGGTGGGCGTGGGGTGGGACATCTATTACCTGTCATTAATTTTATTGTGGATTTGCGTCCATGCGTATGGTCTTTAACGCTTTATTTTTGCTTACCATCTTCTCTAAAGTGCTCTCTGATTTTCTGCAAAGTCTCCTTGTATTTTCCGTCTCTCAATCGCGGGTCGTTCGCCTTTACAACAAAAACAACAGCATGTGCGCATTTTGGAAGAGGTTGTGCACCTTGCAGCAAATTGGTTGGATCTTGATTTGCTGCTGCGTTGCCGTCAGCGTTTCGCACAACTTCTTGACCTGGACGGATTCTAAATTACGATGAAAACGGAACAACCGACTGAGCTTTCGTTGTTGTTTAGGTTGAAAAGGGTAAGAGAGTTACAGGGGAATAGGGGGAAAGAGGGATCCCAACCCAAACCCCCCTCTCCGCTTTGCGCTGGATAGAAAGCGCAGAGAAGGGCTACTGCACATTGTTTTGCAAAGGGGTGTTCGCGCCTTTTATATACCCGTTTTGAATACACCCCAAACAAAACACTAATGCTTAAGCGGCAAGAGAGGAAGCTCTATGTCACTATGGCTATAGGCGGCTTTGCCTGTTATTCTGAAATAGAAATTTAAGTTTAAGTTGAAAAACTGCACCTTTTTTTCTACCCTGAAAGATGTTGCAACAAGAAGCGAGAGACATGTCATTATCATTATTATCATTATCATGACTATTATCATTATTGTTATTACTATTATCGTTTTTGATCTGTCATTGTAAATAGCGCTCTAGAAGTGATAAATTGTTGTTGTTGTTGTTGTTTTAGTATCATTAATATTATTGCTCTTTTCGTTATCGTTATGGTAAACCATTAAAACTATTTTATTCT